ACCAAAATTTCGCACTTTTTTCGTAACCTAAGACAATAATCTTTCAACAAATATATTACCCTATTGTTATTGTTTCGTTAAAAAAAAATCTATGACGCAATTATAAATTACAATTATTACTGCCCGTTAATCTATTTTTTTTTTTTTCAATAATTATTTAATAATTTTCAGATTTATTATCAATGCTGTTGCGTTATTTATTACACCTTTAATTGTATTTTAAAAAACAAAAGAAATAAAAATAAAAGTACTTAATTTTTAGATTGCTTATTTTTATATCTGAAAAAATACTGTTGATACAGCAACGACAACAGATACAGCAACGTTACAGTTTTCAACAGGTTGACGATCAGTCGCCCGACAGTCTTATAATTTAAATCACAATTTGTTGATTATAACTGATACAATAGTTAAATGTTCAGGTAAACATACTTCAGAATATCGGCTTTTACATGGTAATAGTGTCAAATAAAAGCCTGTGTTAGGAAATTTTAATTCCTGATTGAGTTTTTGAAAAAAAACAGCAAAATTATTGTCATCCAAAAAGTGTTGCTGGGTAAAATTGAGCATTTCAACAAAACTAAATGTTTGGAGTAAAATTAAATAAGTGTTTTGGCAGATAATTTATATTTATTGAACTATAAAGACAGTTCATCTTTAACCGTCTGTCTGTTTTTTTTTCTTTCTTCTGCAAAAAAGTTGTCGGTAAAAAAAAGGAGAAAGAACAAAATCAGTTTTTTTTTTTTATTTTTTCGGTATTGAAGAAGCACTTCAGAAGAACGATAATTGTAGAGCGGCTACAATTTTGTTCTCGAACTTAAGTGGCTTTGTATCACATAAATAAAAAAAAAAAAAATAAGATGAGACGTATTCTGTTGATTTTTTGTTATTGTTCATCATTTCATTTGTCGGTTAGCAGCAACTTGATAGGGTCGCTGTTTGATCGTACCGAGGATTCTCACATGCAATTTGAGACTTTTTTGCAACCCCAACCCATCAACAATCATGCTTCTTCACCATTTTTTGCAGGCTACTGTATCAATAGTGTTTACATAACTGAACAATCCTCAAAAACAGCTTTTTTAGCTTGTTCGACATCGATCTTTTGTCGGCTAATTTGTGAAGCAGCTAATCTTTGTTTGGCTAACAAATATTACATTATAAGCTGAGCACATTTTTGCCAATACCAACTATCTGATATTTGTCGCTAACTAAACAGTACAACAACGACTATTTTATTTGGTTCATTTTTCTTTTACACATAAATTTTTTTCCTGTTACATCAAGCAAAACAAATAAATATAGTTTCTAAGTGTATCTTCTTATATTGGTATCAAATATGTTACAGAAGACAAACAATATAAAAGAAGTTGTTATAGTTGTCATTGAGGTTATTCATTTGTGAAAAAAATGAAACAAGTAAAAAAAAAGGTGAAAACAGTTCCAAAATAAATATATTAAAATACAACTACTAAAGCAATTTTTTTCTATTATATTTTGATTATCTAGTAAAAGTCTTAGAGTATTAGATAACTTTTTTGAATATATCATTAGTTGTGAAGACAGTAATAGTACAAAATTAAAGACTGTTTTGTCAACAAAGCTTTTCGATTATTCAAAGACATTTCTGAAATATCTGCAAATTCATTTAAAATTTTTTCACCTCCAAATACTTTTTAATTATCTTAGGTTCAAAATCATATAAAGCTTTAACCTCAGTAATGTCTGTAGAAATTTTCTTGCTTTTCATATTCTTCTAAAATTTTCAACAAGACACAGTAAAAAAAAAGCCATCGTTGTTTAAAGGTTTTAAAGTTCTTTTCAAATTACTGCGTCTTAGCGCTGTTATCGCCTAACTGAAAATTGAGACTTTATTCTTGATATAGTATTTTAACTTGTATCTAAACATTCAAAAAATCTTACAACAAATTTTTCAAACAAG